GACGGCGGCCAGCTGCCCATTGAATCTGCAAAGTGAGGCATATCGTTATAAAGAGGCGTCCAGTGCACTTCTCCGTGGCAGTTGTGGGCTTCTGGGCAGCACCAAAGCCACCTGAGTGGCGGGGTGTCAAACTGGAAAGACAAACTAGCTTGCAAGAGCATGCACAGCAAGGCCTGCGCCGTGTCGCAGCTGCCTGGAAGCTGACGCGCCCATCCCCTCTGGCTCGCACCTGCCGACAAGAACGCCGCCGCACTTGCCCGTCCCCAGGCGCTCTCTGGTGACCTCCAGAGCTGCCGCGGCGTGATGCTGCTGGGGATCATGCCCGCAGGCCTGCTGATCCGCGCTCGCGCTGCCGTTGGCGCCCGTCGCCCGCGAACGCAGGGGGTACCGTGGGCCACCGCTGGCTAGAGCCCCGGCTGTTGCGGTGCCACTGGGGCCAGCTGCAGCCGCAGCTTGAGGCGCGCCGGGTGTGCTTGGCCAAGGGCCCGCCTCATCCTGCTTCAAGAGCACGTCTGTGGGTGTCGAGCGAGGCAGGGGTGCGCACACATCTGCATCTCCTTAGGGTGGTCTGTAATGCAAGAAGAGGCTGACACATTTGCCGAGCGCAGGGCGCAGGGCGCAGGGCGCAGGGCGCAGGGCGCAGGGCGCAGGGCGCAGGGCGCAGGGCGCAGGGCGCAGGGCGCAGGGCGCAGGGCGCAGGGCGCAGGGCGCAGGGCGCAGGGCGCAGGGCGCAAACAGATGATGCCCATGACATTGCGTGCAGAGATGGCTCTCTGCCAAGCTGGAACAAATGCCCCCCCCCACATTCAATGCAGCTGATGCGAAAGCCACCGCAGTAATCAGCTCAGCCGCCCTCCCACCCTGGCCATCCGCACTGTGCACAAAGCTCACACATCAGCATTTCCAGCACGGTGGGGGCTGTGTCGCAGGGCCTGATGGCGTCTGTGAACGCGTAATCCTGCTGCCCCACCCGTTTGATGAAGAAAGTGCCATTCGTGTAGGTCAGAAAGCCGTACGTCATGTCCTGCAGAGAAAGGCGTGGTGAGGGCCGTCTGCTCTTTGGCAAGCTGCAGTAGTTTGCAGGGAGCAATGACTAAAGTTGGACCCGGGCGGCTGGCTCCCCGCCCGTACCGAGGGCAGTAAGTGTCGACCGGGCCTCGCACAAGCAGCGTGCGTGCATGCAAGGGACCTCCATTTGAACTCCCAGAGAGCAACCTCCCCAGCTGCTCTTGGGATATGTAGTTCCCCACCCACCCGCGCACGCATGTAGTGGCAAACTTGCTGCGCGCAGCTCGAGGCGGTTGCGTCGTTTGGAACTGCCTTGTAGAGTGAGTGGTACTGCCTGAGCATGGTGGGCGTCTGCGTTATCAGTGGGATTTGGGGGCAGTGCAGGGAGGGCGCATTTTCATGCAGGGTTTAGCAACAGGGTGATGACAATACACACGCTCGCCAGCATCGCCTGCAGCTAATCTTGATGCAATATATCGAAGGCACTTGCAAGCACCACAGCAGGTTTGTGAGGGTGCAGCTGCAACACCCATTCTGGCAGCCGGCAGGCGGATCAACAATAATACTTGCAGCTCGCACTCACCTTGCCCTCCCCAACAAGCAGCTTGTCACCGCTGAGGGCACCAAACCAGAAGCCTGGCACACCCCTTGACGGGTCATCGTACAGCTGGCCGGAAACGATGGTGCTTTTGCCGGTGACTGCCGAAAACATTGCCGCTGTCGGCACCCCGAAGCAGCTAGCAAACCTGTAGGCAGCAAATAAAGGAGGGGGACCGGTCGTTGCTCTGTACTCTACAACACTACATGCAAGAGAGGCAAACAAAGGGAAGGGTTCAAGTCAACTAGCAACATGTGCGACTGGGCCTACGCTTGAAGACCCAGCCCCATCAGGTGAGAGCACAGGCATTTCTGAAAGCTGGAGAACATCAGCAAGCAAGCGGACTCAAGCGATCACTGCGTGAGGCGCCTGGCTGTGTCGAGCACTCACAAGTCATTGCAGTCCACCTCGGAGTGCAGCACACGCTCCTGCTGCCAGTTGCCACACGGGTTGTGCATAAGCGTGATGCCGCGGCACTTGTTGGTAAGGTACTGGTCGATCTCCTGCTTCGCGCCAGGGGACATCAGGTCCCAATACTTCACAGTGCACGCTTCGTAAGGGCACTTGACACTGGGGAAGCTGGAACACGTCTGGAGCCTCCATATGGATGGGGTCGCCGCCTTGATCAGTTCGCGAACGTGGTAGGCGCCTGGGGCGCAGACGGCGGGTTATGGCTTGAGCGCAGGGCGACTGAGCACTTGGGTGCTGCGCTTTGACCACACAAAATACGTGAGCGCCTCGCACGGAGAGAGAGAAATGGGGGAGGGAGAAGGGGGGAAACAGAGGGAGAGAGACAGAGAGGGAGGGGGGGAGTGTGGACTTGTGGTGCCCTGACATGCGTCTCGAGAACAGCTGCTCCCAAAATCACAAAATTCTCGCCCCCACAAAGCCTGAGCCCCATCCAGTGTCGATAATTGTCAAGTGCACACCGCTGTCACCTGGAGCTGCTGGTGTTGCACCTGGACAGCAGCCAAGGACGACATGGAGGGCGGGTCAGTTGCAGCACGTCCGCGCGGCGATGGATGCCCACAGGTGCAACGCAGCACACGGTGCGGAGGGATGGCGAGGGGAGCGCGGGGAACGGGCAGTGGCCGCGCGCGAGCGGTGTCAGCATGTGTGTCCGCGGTACAATGACAAAGTGAGCTGCAACAGGGCCTGCAGGGGACAGGGCTGGGGACAACAGAGTTAAACACAACCCCTGGCTTGCTTCAAAGAAACCCTTTGTGCGACTTTGTTTCACGGCTGCTTCACAAGCATTGGCTGGGGATCCGGGCGGGGTCAGCAGGCTCGCCACAAGAACCGCAGCATAGCCCTGCCGCTCTCACCTGCTGCTGCTGTGGATCAGTTGCAGAGTCCAAAAAATAAATCCATCAAGGGCAGGTGCAATGGAAGGCGGAGGGTGCAAGGAAAACCACGGAGAACAAAGAGACGAGATGGTTTGGGCAAGGATGCAAAGTTGCAGGAGGTGTCAGCACTGGCAGGCGAATGAGTGATGGCAAACAGGCAGACCCGGCGCAAAACATGCATGCTTGCTGCAAGGGGCAGGTGCACAATGTTGTCGGCATGCCTTGCTTGCAAAGCGCAGCTGGGTATTCAACCAAGAGTAAGATAATCTCCCCTCCATCCAGACGAGAAACATATGCTGTGGCCGTCCCAAAATAAGCCCGCGCCCCAGCCAGTTTGGGACAAAGGAATCCGAGTGTGCAGGAAGCGTACCTGTGACTGCCGCTCCAATACCTGTACAGCAGCAAGCAACAGGGCGGTGGCGATGCGCAGCGGTCGATGGCAGCGCGGTTGCAAATGAAAGGTCAGCGGGTGACAGCGCATGTATGTGGTGTGACGAGGGGGAGGGTGGGGGAGGTATAATGAACCATGCAGCGGCATGGCAATGGCGCCGACACAAGATCCTTGGTGATGAAGATTAGGCGAGCTGGGCACAGTTGGCAAGGTAGCATGCCTTGCCTGGAGCTTACCCGCTCTCCCCATTATGGCAGCCCTCAGGGTGTTGTCGTCAAAGCGTGACAGCACAGCTGCTGTGTCTTCTGGGACGTCCCACAGCACGCTGAACGCCCGGGCGCGGTGGTCAGGGTCATCTGGAAACAGGCGCGACACCTGGCCCAACAGGCGGGCCCTCGCCGTCTGGGCCGCCTCAGCCCCCCCTGACATCTTTTGATGTTGGCACCAGTGCTGACCCGGCCTGCAACGCAACCAGATGCGTGCGTGGTCTCCAGTTTTGCACGCGCAAGAAGGCTGAGCGAGCACGGACACAAGTACAGCGCAGGTCCAAGCCGGAGGCGGCGCAGTTTGAACATGAGAGCGCCGTCACCCAGGCCCAGATTTGCGCCAAAACCTGGCACAGCCTCCGCTTGAGGTGAAAGCACTTGTGAGTTGTCAGCCTCCTGCAGAGCCAGGGTGCAGCGTGACACACGGACAAGGTTGGTAGAGAGGGCCAGGAGGAGCTGTTCAAAGCTTTGATGGGACACAGCTGTGGGTGCGCAGGTTGCCTGCCCCCAGGCCGTCAGTGGGGTGTTGGCAGTGCAGCTTGCAGGCGACGCCTGAAGGTGCACGCAAATGACTGATAGTTGTCGCTCCTGGGGCCGCAGCCTGCCAGTGACGGCGCATTCAGAGCCCTTGCCTGAATATTCTGGCGGCTCCAGCTGCGAAGATGGAGATTCGGCGAAGCTGAGCGAGTAGGCTCAGACTGGCCCAGCAGCCGGAGTGCGGTCGAGGTGGAATTGAGGATATATCGCAGGCAATGCGCACTTGACAGATTGCGGTAAGAACTCCAATGAATCTCAACCAGCTGTCGTGTGCTATTGTTGGTGCTGGTTCAAGCCCTCAGCCCTCGGGCCCTGCAGCTGCTAGGTTGCTTCACTGCTGTGACAGCAGTTGGGACCTGCTTTGTCGCTTGCCCCAGCAGCACTAGAGCACACCAGGAAGCGTGGTTTGCCAGGAAGCACGGTGTTACGCGAGGAGATAGCAGACAAGGCTGTGCACGAGCAAAGCCAACCAGCCAGCAGGATGCCCGCGTGGAACAAACCACCCATCCACATGCAGGCAGGAAAGCAGCTAGAACATGGCAACTGCTAGTACAAGCTGCTTATGGCAAGGTTTTGATAATATGCGTGACTGCAGCTTGTTGCATGCAGACTGGGGGTTGCAGGCTGCATGCCAATTTGGTTTGCTGTGAAAGAAGTACGCACGACGGTCAGTGACACAAGTAAGGCAGCCGGGCTGCGGCGCAAGCATTTCTCTGCCGTGTACGGAAATACCATATGTTGCCTGAACAACAACAACATGTGTGGTGGAGAGGTTTGTGGGTGAGAATAATTGAGGGGTCCACTCTCCATTCCGTGTTACAATTTCCTCTGGCAAGGAGACCATGCTTGAATACGTAAGAAATTGTGCTGCGCTTGCTGGTGGTGCTGCTGTTGCTGTTGCCACTGCCGCAGCAGCTGCTGCTGCTGCTGCTGCTGCTGCCGTTGCTGCAGCAGCTGCCGTTGCTGCAGCTGCTGCTGCTGCTGCTGCTGCTGCTGCTGCTGCTGCTGCCGTTGCTGCAGCTGCTGCTGCTGCTGCTGCTGCTGCTGCTGCTGCTGCTGCTGCTGCTGCTGCCCTAGATGCTGACGCTGATGTCCGACGCAGACGACAAGCGCCAGGGCTTGGCCTTAAAACATATGATGACTCTGTTCCTACCCCGGAGGTCGCATCCTGTTGCGACCGCCGTGTAACACCACAAGTATGGAAGAGGGGGCTGCCCCTTGGACACCCTCTGGCAATGCCGAAACGCATTGCCAGCGTGCGCCAAACAAGGAAGAGTGGCATTCCAATGGCCAATAGGCAACTACGCACGCCTGGATCTGTCAAGGCCCCTGGCACGCAAACGGCGGGGGGAGGGACACAGCCGGCTCAAGAAAGGCGGCTGCTGCCAAGTGCTCTTGGTGATGCAGCCAACCCATGCGCCCGCTCCCAGCGCCCAACGCCCGGCTGGCCGACGGCATGACACCCACCGCCCATTTTTGTCCCGAGTGCCACCACCCACGCGTCAGAGCCTGGTGCTTCCGATTTCGCCCCCTTTTCCTGTCCGTGGCACTCCCGGCCGAAACTGCCCACCGGCTGGCACCCGCGGCAGTGTCGACCGCGGCCAGGGGGCGCGGCACGGGCTGCAGGGTGTGTTTCGGCCTCAGGGCGGCGTTCCTGGGAGTGAAACAGAAGTAATCACACGCCGCTGGTGGTGCCCGTGCCTGTGTCACTGCCTGAACAGCACCCGCAGCTGCGCCAGCTCAGCGGCTTGGGCTTGCGGGTCGCACGACTCAGTGCTGAAGTCAAAATCAATCAACCACGCCTGCGCGCAATGCAATGCGATCCATCACATTGTTTGTGAGCAGCGTTGCGGTGTGGTGCAGTAATGATGACGGATGATACAGTACGCAAGCATCAGTGCAACGTGCGTGACTGAACAGCCTGGGGGATATATATACCAGTGGAAAAAGCAAGAGCGTAAACTAAAAGCTCAAGGTTAACCCAAGACGCTGTGGCTGGCTGCAATTCATCCTAACAGCTCGACTTGAGGATTGAACCCGGGTGTGCGACAAAACCCCTGAAGTGGCCGCAGCGCATCACCTTCCATATGCCGTCCTCGACTTTGACGATGACATTCTCAGCCCTGATGTCGCCGTGAAGAATGCCCCGGGCGTGGAGTTCTGTCAGCGCCTGCAGAATCAGGCGTAGGGTGCGTCGATCTTTGGGTACAGGCGGAGGGTGCACGACGCCTTGGGTCGCGACACAGGAGAGGTCTGGAGAATGAGCACACACGCAACCCCCAGCATTCTTGCCAGACGAGAACTGTGCACTGCTGCAGTTCAGGAACTATTCACAACCACGACATACAATGCCCACCCGCTCTGCAGCTTGTCGCCCGCCGCATGTGCCGCTGCCTGGGTGCTCTCCCGCCACGATTGAGGTGGCCAGAAAGTAGGTCCACCCGTTGTCCCAGAAACCACATCCGTACAAGACTGGAATGCACTCGCCCTGCAGCGATCTCAGTCGGTCTGCGCGGCCGATCAGACCACAGTGGGGAGCGTCGTTCGTCTCAAGGTTTCCCTTCTACGTCACGCCAGCAGTAGTTGTGCGCATGCAGTGTTGCGCCCTAACAGCAACAGCAGTCCAAGGGAATCATCGCTTTGTTTCAAGCTGTGAGCGCAAGCAATGCACCAGGCCGTCATCAGGAAGCTTCAGAGCTGTTGGCGAAGGATGTGTGCAAATTGCATTGCCATGCACGCGCACTGAAGGTCCCAGCATTATCCCACACAGACTCCCACCGTAGATGGCCACTTCCGCCTTAACCATGGGCAGCAGGTCGGCCTGCTTCGTCACATCCAAGGCCTTGATGGCGGCCAGCTGCCCATTGAATCTGCAAGGTGAGGCACGCGGCCACCGAAAACCGCCCTGTGGACTTCTCATTGGCAGTTGTGGGATTCAAGGCAGCACCGTTGCCACCTGAACGGCGAGCTGTCAAATTGGAAAAAAGACGCTTGCAAGATCATATACAGCAAGACCTGTGCTGCGTTGCGGCAGCTGGAACCTGACGCGCCCATCCCCACTACCGGCTCGCACCTGCCGGCCAAAACGCCACCGCACTTGCCCGTCCCCAGGCGCTCTCTGGTGACCTCCAGAGCTGCCGCGGCGTGCTGCTGCTGGGGATCATGCCCGCAGGCCTGCTGATCCGCGCTCGCGCTGCCGTCGGCGCCCGTCACCCGCGAACGCAGGGGGTACCGGGGACCACTGCTGGCTGGACCCCCGGCCGTTGCGGAGCCACTGGGGCCATCTGCAGCGCCAGCGTGAGGCGCGCCGGGTGTGCTTGGCCAAGGGTCCGCCTCGTCCTGCTTCAAAAGCACATCTGTGGGTGTTGAGCGAGGGGCGCGCACACATCTGCATCTCCTCAGCCTAGTCTGGTGTGCAAGAAGAGGCTGACATTTTTGCCAAATGCAGGGTGCAGGGTGCAAACAAATGATGCGCATAATCAAATCATGTGCATAGATGGCTCTACTGCCAAGCTGGAACAATTGCCCCCCCCCCCAAAAAAAACAACATTTGATGCAGCTGATGCGAAAGCCACCGCTGTAGTCAGCTCAGCCGCCCTCCCACCCACGCCATCCGCACTGTGCACAAAGCTCACACATCAGCATCTCCAGCACAGTGGGGGCTGTGTCGCAGGGCCTGATGGCGTCTGTGAACGCATAATCCTGCTGCCCCACCCTTTTGATGAAGAATGTGCCGTTTGTGTAGGTAAGAAAGCCATACGTCATGTCCTGTACAGAAATGCGTGGGAGGGGCGGCTGCTCTTTGGCAAGCTGCTGTAGTTTGCAGGCAGCAATGAAGAAAGTTGGCTGGCTCTCCGCGTGTACCAAGGGCAGCAACTGTTGACCCGGCACAGCACGCATGCGAAGGACCTGCAGTCTAACCCCCAGCGAGCAAAGTCCCAGGCTGCTCTCAAGAGGGTGGCACCCACCCGCGTGCGCATGTAGTGGCAAACTTGCTGCGCGCAGCTCGAGGCTGTTGCGTCGTCTTGAACTGCCCCGTAGAGAGAGTGGTAGTGGCTGAGCACTGACGGCCTCTATCAGACCGATTTAATTTTTTTGGAGGGGGGTCGGCGGGGGCGCATGTAGAGTTGTGCGGGGTTCGCCAACAAAGTGAGTAGAAACGCTTGTCAGCACTGCCTGCAAATCACCTCGGTACGGCATATCGATTGACTGTCTCTGAGGCACCAACAGCATTGAAGGCGATCTCAATCACCGCAGCACATGCGAGCGGGTGCAGCTGTAGTACCTTTGCTGGCAGCCAGTGTGAGGGCTAAGAGCACTGGGGGCTCGGACGCACCTTGCCCTCCCCCACGAGCAGCGTGTTGTGACCGCCGTCGAAGCCGCCAAACCAGAAGCTTGTCACGCCCTTTGATGGGTCCTCGTCCAGCTGGATGGAAAAGTCGGTGCGTTTGCCAGTCACCGCCGAGAACATGTCCGCCGCCGGGTGCCCGAAGCAGAGGGAGAACCTGAGGAGGACGGGGG